GGAGAAAACTACCTATCTTGCACACAGAGATCAGATATCCTCAAGGAAAAGTCCTAAGTGAACTGAGGATGTTAATTTCCCACTGTGGAATGCCATTAAACCATCTATCACAAAGTTGTCTCGCCTACCTCCTCTACCACATTAAGGCACAGTTCATTAAAAGTAAAGTATGCCCCTTTACCCTCAAATCAACCTATTACAAATATCTACACGACCATCCCCTGCAAATGCAAAACTTTTATTTGGCTACATGAAAAGATTGTACTAAAGTTCCACAAAGAATACCACCACTTTCATTTCAGGTTGTTTTCCAACAGGATATCTGTTGTGATACATTTTTTTAGCCCAGCCAGAAACTGTAGGAGGCAACCTACTCCAATGTGAAACCCAACTACTGCCTCTTAAACCAGTCTCTAGCAAAGCAGGTGTCCATAGTTTTAATCTGAAGCTCACCATCACTTAATAATCTGAGGTACATTTACAGAGATTAACGTATTGTAGTGACTGCATGAGAAAGTCATATCTGTTTGCAAATTGTGCCAAACACTTTTGAAATATATCTGAGAATAATGATCTCTTTATTATAATAAGAACAACCGTCAGTAATGAACTTCACCTAATAATCCCCTCCCACCCCATTCTTCTCCCCTTCTCTCTTCATCCTTTCCTGTCTCCCTTCCCCTTCCCCTCAAAGACAGGAGGTAAATCATAAAAAGCCCACTGGCCAGACATTCCCTCTAATACAGCTGAGACAATGCTGTTCCTTCAAGGTTTGGGAACAGCAGATCGTTCTGGGGTTGAATGTCCCAGGCTAGACTGGTGTCAGCCCCTTGTAGTATGACACTCTCCTCACATAGCTTGGCATTTTAAGAGTCACCCTGTCAGGAATGAACTACTCACTCCTTGCCCAGTCAGGTGTCAGGCCTACTTTGGGTTCCATCAAAAAAAAAAGGTTGGAGGAAAGGAAGGAACTGTTTTCTTTGAAGGATCTTTATGGTTGGTTATTCTGAAATACTGTAACTTTTTGGAGGACATATGATAACAGTCCAAATGATTATTTTTACTCAAAACACATTTAAAAATACTAAAAACAAAACTATTGACTAGAATGTTTCTATGAAAAAAACCCTTTATTCTGAGAGGGTTTATTTCTGCCAGCCAAAACATGATATTTAACCTGCTTCAAAGTCTCATGAGATAGTAATTATTAAGCTTCAAATACCTAGGACCCATAGAAATCAGAGAATGGGGGGGGAGAACCTTAGATTATGATGGCCATTTGCTTCACCGTATAAATGAGAACATAAGCAGGATAAACTAGGAGGCTGCCCCCACTTGAAGTAAGTTTTGACTGGAACTTGGGTGTTCTGATTCCCAATCAATACTTTTTACATCACTCTCTTCTAAGCCCACAAAGAAAAAAGTACAGTAAAAGTTACCTTTGATAACAATAACACAAAGAATTTTTCTTCCCAAACAGGGATTCAGCAGACTTTTAATTCCACATATGTAAATATCACAAGTCAAACATCTTTTTGTAAAAGTGAAGTTGGAGAATGCATTTTTATACAATTCCTAAGTATGGTTTACTGAGCCTGAACAAGCATTAAATCAAAAAATTAATTAGATGGTAATGCTACATTATTAAATAACATTTGGTACTCTGTCATCCAGTCATCAACTTAATATAATGGCATAACTACAATTTTCATTCTATGAGAAACCATCTAGTTTTTTAAACAGATATCTTACTGTCAATCAAGTAGTATCTATAGTAGTCCCTACCAAGAGGTAAGTGCAGTGTAAAGGTTGCTAAAAAACACCAAGAATTAAGATGCGTTATGTACATGTACCAAATGTCTATAATGAATGTAATCATTTGTACAGCAAACATGTACTGATAAAAATAAAAATTAATAAAAGAAAATAGAAACCAGCAAGATCTGGGCTATTCACAGACTGAGCCACAAAAGCCATTGATTGACCTTAGGCTGCTCTGTTTTTAGCCAGCCATGCTGGGCTCCCATATTGCTGTCCATATGCTGCTGTAACGGGCATGTTCTGGCCACTAGTGCCTCTGCTGTCAACACCCCAACAGCGGTGAAAACAAAAAGACAGGGCTGTTCAACTGGGCAAAGCCCAACTCAGTCAACTCACTAGTATTTTTCTGCATAGAGAAAAACACTCAAAACTGAGAAGGCATTCAAATCTACAGTTCTAGCCTCAACAGAGGCATTACTGGCCTCACTTAATGGAAAATAAAGATCCTGGATAATCACATTATTTTCTAATATGTTCTCAGCTTTGAAATAAATAACAACAGAATCATAAAAAATAAAATCTTTAGGGAATCATTCCTATTACAGAAGCATTTCATTTTACAAAGGGATTCGCAGCAGGCAGATTTAAATAATGTTGATCATTACAGAACACTGCAAAAGAAAATGATTTGTGTTTGTGTTCAAAGTGCTTAAAGTGAGCCTTACATCTAATAACATTTTTGGTTGGTGCAACTACACTGATTCAGGTCCATGGTGACTCAGGCCATGGAGATGAGGCCACAGGCTGGAGCCTAGAACATGTCACTGAGGTTTGAGGAGAGAAACGCAGAATTTCTAACTCTGGATACAACTATACCCTGAGGTTTTCAGAGAATCAAGAGTCTGAATGGTTAAAACAGAGCTATCCCTACTATGGGAAGAAACAACGTAGACATGCTTCCAAAAGCCAGGAGCATTCTGTGGCATATGTGCCTTATTAGATTATTATTCTGAGCAGTAATCATCAACTTTCATTTCCCATACAAAACACTATATCTCTTCTATTTGGCTCAATGGGCTGAAAGAAACCAACTCTACATATCAACATGAGGACGTCTGCTGTGCCTCAGAGTTGAGAATAGCAAGTCAAGTCACAGGATCACGCAAAGGAAGACAGTGTTCTGTTTTGTGTTTGTGTTTGTTAAGACTGAGTGAGTCTAAGTACAAAGCTATCTGGGTTCTTACAATTTTTTTTTTTTTTTTTTTGGTATTGGGGATAGAACTCTGGTCCTCGGCGGAACCACTGAGCTAAATTCCCAGCCCCTTCTTACAATTGTTTTCCAACCCAGTGAACAGCCTGGCATCAGCATGGAGAGGAATGTCAGGAAAATGACATTCAGCATAGAGTTCTCTACAGAACACTCTGCAGAGTTCTCCAGCTGCTGGGGATTTAGCTCAGTGGTTCCGTTGCCTGCCTCGCAAGCCCAAGGTCTTGAGTTCGATTCCAGGTACTAAAAAAAAAAAAAGTAAACAGAGTTCTCCAGCTGCTATGCTTTTGTTCTTCAAAAGAAAAGGCTGAAGACTGCCTTCAAAGGCATTAGCTCTATGAAGGTGAATCCAGCCAGAATTTATCAGGCAGACTTATCAGATACCATTCAGCATGTGATCTGTGCTACAACATGTTAATGCAAAGCAACCTGCTGTTCCTGAGAGAGAGCACTTGTCTTTGGGGAGACTGCAAGATGAGACAGGACTTCCTATTTTCTGTAAGTAAACATTTGTTGTAGACAACTCTACATCTGCAAACACACCCACTTTTTCACTATGTCAGCACTGGCTAGGATCAATGACATATCTGTATGGGATCTCAGTCACTTTAAAATACGTCTTTTAGTCTGTTTCTTTGTGCATGTCAATTTCAGTAGTTCAGCTGACTTAGTTCTTCAGCAACAATACTGTCCGCAGAAAAATACACCTTCCTTAAACAAAGGAAACTTTTTGTTCCCATGGTACAAAAGATATATTCTGCCATCTCCAGGAGTAATAGTAAGCTACAGAAACAGCAAACAAGAAACAGAGTGAAAGCTAAAGAAACAAAACAAAGGCGAGTTGGGGGCAAGAAGCAGTGTGGAGGGGAAGTGCTCATTCGTGGGTTTTATTTTGCGGTGCTGGGGATCGAACTCAGGGTTTCACAAGAGCTAGTAGGCAAGCGCTCCACTGCTGAGCTACATCCCCAAGCCTGGGGGTGGGAATTTGTGATTTAAGAAATTCAGCCTTTCCTATTGAATGTGGAGGGAGGAGAAAAAAAGGGGAAGGTGATGTTTTCGGTTAAGAAAAAGACTGAAGTGTGTACCGCCCTCTCGGTTTTGTTTCAATATCGAAGCATCCGGAGAACGCACGGTAGGCAAAATCTAGTCTAGACTAACGCTGGCTCAATGAGACTGACACAAGTTTGTTCGTGATGCAATGGAAATATCTAACCAAACTGAGGAATTGCATCAAAAATTATGACAATTCTTTAAATTATTTTAAGTATATTCTGGCACTCAAAATAAGTTTGATTATTCACAAGGCACAACTACCGATTTCATACGATCATTTTGCAGGATGTGAAGGCACCCTATCCTAACCTCTTTTAAAGAAACCGCTACGGACGTGGAGTGCTGTCAACTATTTCCCAAGACTGAGGGTCTGACGCTCAGAGTGACGGCGAGAAACCAAACAGCGACCAGAAGCCCCGAGTCCCTGATGAATTTTTCTGCGGCACAGTCCCACCGATCTGTACGCGGGGGTGTGGAGGCCAGAAGCATCCGCGGTTGCTGCTTCCTCCCGGGCGCGTCCCGAGTTCCCGCGGTCAGGTGGGTGGCGGCGAGCCCCGGCGGGGAAGCCCTGCCCTCCTCGCGGAGTGCGGCGCCGATGGAGAGGCTGAGCCCGCCGGGTGCCGCGCGTCCCGCGGCCGCCGCTCACCTTTGTCTGCCAGCCCTCTCCGCGAGGAGGGCAGGGCCGGCCAGGGAAGACTGCGGGATGCAGCCAGACTCTCTCCGGCTCCCGGGAAGCGCTCGGGGCGGGCGGGCGGGCGGGTCACCGCCCCCTCCCCCGAACCCAAAGGCTGGGAGTTGCGAACGCGGGAGGCGCGGGAGCGTGTGCTACAGAGCACCCGAGTGTGCGTGTGCGCGGGAGTGTGTGTGTGCGTGCGTGTGTGTGGCGCAGGGGGAGGGGAGGTGCTCCAGCCCTTCTTACCTCTCGAAGATAAGCCGCACCATGAAGATGCAGAAGGCCAGGGGGAAGGCGAGATAGAGGTCCTCAGCCTGCGGGAAGGTGGCTTCCTCCGTGTTCTTCAGGTCTGCCCAGGTGACATTGTGCGGGAGCCAGAACCTCTCGTTCCAGAACCAGGCTAAGATCCCTGCCATCTTGCTTTGTCCACTCCTCTCCCGTGGCTCCCGAGGCCCGCCGAGCTCTCCTTTGCGCAGGACGCCCGAGGATGCGCGGCTGGCTGGCCCCCGAGCCTGTGCCGCCGCCGCCGCCACTCGCGCCCGCCGCTGCCGCTACCTCCGCGGCCGCTGCTCTCGAAGGCTCGCGGCGAACCCCGGTTCTCTGCTCCCTCTGGCCGCGCTGGGAAAGGGGCCGCCTCGTCTGTCACATGGCAGCCCAGGCCGCTCGCCCTGATTGGCTCGTCCCCGCGTCAAGCAGCCAGGCACACGCGGCCGGCTCGCCCACGCCCGGAGGGCAGGGCGCAGTCGTGCGCCCTGGGCGCAGGGCCCCGCTCCCGAGAGTGCTCTGCGGCCCTGGGCTCCCCGTGCTCCTGCGGAGCGCTCGCGGGGGAGACCTGCAGTGGGCTCCCGAATTCCGCCCCAGCCCCCAAGTTTGCTCGCACATGCTCAGAACGCTGGCTTCTGCCCCACTGGAGTTTAAGCGCTCTCATCCGCTTTCCCTGCGCCCTGGGGCAGTGGCGATAGGAGCCAAGGCTGAGCTTCAGAGCCAGCATTGCGCTGAGCTGAGAGCGGACAGCAAAGGGAGAAGTAGGGGCAGCAGAGGCAAAGGAGCCAGAAGTAGGAGGGAAAAGATGGTCCTGCCCTACTGGGGTAGGGTGGTTGGGCAAGAGACTTCTGGCTCTGTTCCTGCCCTGTCTTTCCCCATCTTTGACCTTCCGACCTTTTTATACTACTGCTTCCCATTAACGCAGGAGCACTGGATAACAAAGCCCTTTATTTTAACTTTCGAGGCGCTACAAGAAATTAGGCACTTAATTGCTCTTTATTACTATTTGATGATAGCAGTGATGATAATGATAGCAACTGCAGCATTCTTAAAACTGCTTCCCACTAAACTCTTAAGTGCTGCTGGACCACGTTTTGGCAGTTTGTAGTAGTCAGCTTTCCGATTGCTGGACACAATATCAGACACAACTTAGAGGAGAAAACGCTTTGATTTACCTCATGTTTGGGGGCAATCCAGTCTATAGTCAGCTGGCGCCAAGACTGGAACATCCAGGCAGAAGGCATGGCCGAACAAAGCTGCTTTAGCGTGTGACTTCCAGAAAGCAGAGCAGGGAACCAGTGCCTGAGGAGCACAGGCTAGGGCCCACAAACTGTATAGTACCCAAGGTCATTATTTCTGCCTTTTACATCCATATAAAGCCTTTTAATGCATGAAGTCTTTGAGGTGTAACTCCGGCATTACCCACACCTTACATTTCTCCTTTGATACAGGAACTACATGTAGATTAACGCCCTTCCCTTTGTTGACCAAGTTCCAGGGAATACTTTGCTCATTTTTTTCACTATCATTCATTTTCTGCTTAGTCCTCCCAGTAAGTTCTGCCGGACCTTTACAATAAGCATATCTCTCTCTCACACACACACACACACACGCACGCACGCACGCACGCACGCACACAAGGCCTTTGTTTACCCTCCTCTCCCTCCACTCACTTACCACTTGCTTCTCCTTCCTCCCTTTTACCCCAAAACTATAAAGAATGGCCTATCTGTTGCCTCTAATTTCTCTCCTCTGGTTCTCTTTTGAGCTTTCCTTGGCGTTTACCTCCTCTACTACACTACTGAAACTGCAAGGTCACTGGTGAGCTCCATGCTGCTAAACACAAAAGTCAGGTCTGGTTTTGATTCAGACTACTTAGACTGGGAGGCTTAAACAACTGACATTTATTGTGCAAACTTTTGGAGTCTGGAAAGTCTAAAATCAAGGTACTGGCAGTTTCAGTGTCTGATACGGGCTCTCTTCCTATCTGTGGATGGCTGTCTTCCCATGCCAGAGAGCAGAGAGGAAGCAAGTGCTCCTGTATCTTCTTACCAAAGCACTAATCCCATTTTGAGGGCCCCACCCTCATAAGCTAATTACCTCCCCAAATACCTTCCTATTGAAGGCTAGGCTTTCAACATAAGAATTTGAGGAGGATATAAACACTCAGTCCATTGCAGTAAACTTCTCTACCCCCCATCAGAAGCTTTTGGTCTACCTGGTCCATTCCTCATAAAACATTCTTATCATGGTTTCCAGAAACCACATTCTTCTGTTTCTTCTCCTCCTTCGTGGCCACTTCTGCTCAATCTCCTTCTTGGTTACTCCTCACCTTCCTAACTCCTAAAAGTATTTTGTCCTCATGACATTTCCATCTGCACTCATCTTCTTGGTGATCTCATCCATTTCCAAGGCTTTTGATAGCTTTCAATGACACACTTATAGCCCCCATATTTGTATCTCTTCTCATGAACACTGCACTACAGCCTCCTAAATCCATTGTGGCTCAACAATGCCACCATCTTATGGCCAAACTACGAATCGCTCAAAAACCTGTGTCTTCCATAGTCCTCACTCAGACCAAAAACAGTCATTCTTCCCCTTCTTTTTCTCACTAATTCCTTTTCTAATCATCACAAATCCTGTCAACGTCATTTTAAAAAAATCTCACCATCTCTCAGCACCTCTTCATCTACTGTGAGATCCACACAACCAGCATTTCTCACCTGAGTTTCCCTAGTAATCTTCTACCTCCCCATTTCTAGACTTGACCCTCTGCAGTCTATTGTCAGGCAGAGTGATCCTGTTGAAATGTGAGTCAGATCACTTCAGAACTTAAAGACCTGCTTCTCCATCCTTCCCCAAGTGGAAGTCAAAGTCATTGGAGTGTCCTAAGATACTTGGTTCCATATTCCCTCTGACCTCATTGGCTCTCTCCTCTCCCTCTGCTTTGGTTGCTGGCCTCCCTGCCCTTCCTGGAACACACGAGCCATGTCTTAAAGCTCTTGCACTTGCTTTTCCTTCTCTTTGGAATGCCTTTCCCCTAAATGTTCATGTCTGTTTTTTCTTTAATGTCATAGTGAGCCCTTCCTTTGTCACACTAGATAATCTACTACTCTCGCTCTTCAAAGCATTCTTCACCATCAACACAACATGTATTGTACTTACTGCTTCCCCCACCCACCCACACACAAGTATAAGCTTGAAAAAGTTAAAATTGTCTATTTTATCCACTCTTATATCTGCAGTACTTAAAAGGTGCCTGGCACATAGTAGGTCTCCAATTAACTATTGATTAATGAATGAATAAACTTTACTCTAACCTCAATGAACTTCTCCAGGAGAGAAAAAGCCTGAATAATTGTGTTCAGTGTGTATATATCCACGTTAGACTCATATTAAGAATGATGTGGGGCTGGGGATTTAGCTCAGTGATGCCACACCTGCCTCACAAGTGCAAGGTCCTGAGTTCGATCCCCAGTACCAAAAAAAAAAAGAATAATGTGATAATATTACACATAGGATAGGGAATTGGTCTGTTCTGGGGTGGGAGTGTGGGTGTCATTGAAGTGAGTCATCTTTGAGGAGAAAATGTCATCAGCGTCACTTCAGACCATGTGGTCAGCTGCTCACTGCTACTGAAGGCCGTGTGGGAGATGCATTCAGATCACTTCAACTGCATTCTTGTAGCCCTGGAGAGGAGATTTGTTAAGGCCTATCACCTTTTGTGGCAGAAGTTCATGTCATGGTACCGCCTAGCCCCTGCAGAGCTCATGCGCTCACATCCCTTCCTCCAGTATAACCTGGCCTCCTACCCCAGGGCTTCTGTGCTATCTAGGAGCTGCTGCTGTGTCCTCAAGTAGGACTGCATTAAGTGTTGGTGAGTTGACGCCCAAGAGCCTGAACTTTGATAACAGACAGTGGAAGCCTTAGGATACATTTTTACTCCTTTCCCTCCCCTGGACCTGGAATACAGAGGCCTCTCCAAAAACATGCAGTGGTGTCAATTGGCTTATTTCAAAGTTGTGGTGAGCTCAGTTAGTCATGCCCCCATGTTTCTTCTCCCTCTCTTTCTGTCTCACTCTTCTTGTCCCTTATTCCCTTTTCCCTGAAACTGCATTTCCCTGGAACTTTCTTTCTAGAGAAGCGAAAGTAATAGGAAAGCAGAGGACAGTGCTGCCATTCTGCCACTCACCCAATTCTAAGACAGTGGAGGGATTTCAGGAACCTTTTGAAAGATGGATTTCATTGGGCCGTGGAAGGAGATACTAGTAATTATCTGGGATTCTTGCACAAGTCGCTTAGTTTCTAAGAGCATATTAATGCCCTCCTATGTAGTTTATCTAATAATAGTGTCTCTCTTGCCTGTGGCACTCATCATGAAACTCACAGGAGATGAGCTATGGGGAAAGGCTTGCACACTATCGACCTCTGTGCCCCGGTGTCGCAGAGCAAACATCTAGTCTTTTATTGGAATAGCAGGCCTCCATCAGGCAAGGGCCCCGTCCCACCATCTTCCAGCCGAATGGTTACCCTGGAAACCCAATCGAGTGAACTATCTTTCCATATCTGACCAGTCTTCATTGATCCAGGGACTGGCCCGACATAGCAGTTAAAGTCCTTCTTTGGGTGTATTGATCAGATCAGGGCATCCTTCTATGGACACTTGGACTCAAGGATTTCAAACATTAAGGCCCCTCTACTTCACGGTACAGCTGGAAAAAGCAGAAGCCAATCTGCCCCCAGAGAGAATAAAACAGACCTGTAGAGTTAAGTGAAAGTCAGAGACACAGAGTCCTCTTGGCATTTGAGCTCCAGGTTCCACACAGTACCTGGGGGCTGACTATCTTCGCATGTTTAGGCTCCACACACCAGCATATCTTCATGTCCAATTCCCTTTTTGGATTGACTTGCTGTTATTTTAATGCAAAATATTCCCACTCTCCAAGACATTACTCAAGAGTCCATGTCTCCAACATTCTGCTGACCTCAGCTGAGGCCCTAGGGAAGGCTTCTTAAGGTCATATCTTCATTACAGGAACGACACTGCACAGCATAACTTCCAAGGAGCCACTTTATACCTGTGCAGAAGGCTTCTAGTTGTTTACCCAGGAAACCTAAATACAAGCTATGCATCAGACAAATGCATTGTTCAGTGAGGAAATGAATTGTTAGTTTATAAGTAGAAGAGACAAGAAGAGAGAAAAGATGACAAAATATTAGCGGTGGGGGTAGTGTGCCACCAC